ATGATTCAAATACACAGAGAAATCCCTTAACATTCTTAGCTCCCTATAGCTCCCAACAGCATTTTGGGCTATTCTTCAGCAATCCATCTAACAGAAGTACAGATAGCCAGAAATAGTGATGGAAAAGAAATTTATTGATTTTGATGTTCAAAATCCAAACTGCCTATTGTGTATCATCTGAGCATGGCAGTGGAATGAGAAGTTCATATATTTTCAGGTCTTGTGATGTGTACAAGCATCCAGGAATACTTACATTATAAAAGTGATCACAAAAATGTGTACATTTTGAAAAGGCACACCAAAATATGCACACAGTTCTATACTGGGGAAAAAGAGAATTCTTGCAATCTGATGTGTAAATCATATGGAATGACAACGCTGGCCAGATACTGAAAAAATTTGGTGTGAAAAAGGCTAGTGGATTTTTATATCCCCAGTCAGATATTTTTAATTATAAAGAAGCTTACTTTTGTTAATCTTGAGGCATACAGAAAAAATATAACTAAGCAAATAAGGCAAAATTTCCCCAGTTTCTGGTCGAATATCCACTCTTGTTCATTCCCCAGCCATAATATGGTTTTCCCAACACCAGTCAGGAAAAGGCAAGAATTCTGTGTAGATTTTGCCTGGTATTTTTGTGTGTTTTTACACCATTTTTGCCTAGTATTCACATATTGTGAAATGTTTGGGCAAATGATTCTGCACAGAAATACATGTGGGTTCTTGTGTAGAAATTGTGGTGGGTTTGTGAAGATCATTTTTTTTTTTTGGTGTTTCTAAAAGCACATGGTTGTTTTTTTTAAATGATGGAAGATTACTGGATTTTGTGCAAACCTCAGCAACTTTCCAGAAGAAAAGTGTGTTTCTGAAAAGAATGTTTTTCATATACTTCCCTTCTTTCAAGAAATACACATGATTTTTCATGCCAATTTTCTGTTTTTTAAAACAATACCCACCAATTTTGCACAAAAAAATGCACGTTTCTAAAAGCAAGACATCACAGCAGGTAGAAAATTAGAAATACTTTATTCTTCTATGTGAGGATAAAACAGTTGAATATTTTCATCTCTAGTTTCTAGCAGCACTTATAGTGGTAAAATAGCAGTGGCAGTTGTATTAGTATTAGAAATATTTAGTCATCATGATTTATGATTGACTCTTTTAGCAATATTTCAAGGCATACAGTAAATATTTAACTGTAATATTTCAGATAGGTTAATACATTAATACAATAATCAGTTTTCACCCCTGTACATATTCATTTTGTTTTAGTAGGGGCAGGCTTCTTAAAAGGAATATTTTATTTTATCATTTCAAGAAATGAAACTAAAGCTAACATATACAGCTTCCTCTCCTCTTTAAAGTTACATAACACATAGATATTATTATATACTCAAAATATGTTAGAGTTATGTTGTACTTCCTGAAGCATGAAATTATGTGTTGTTTTGTTTCATGCACAAAAATATTAAAAATGATTTTTATAAAAGTTGGAAGAGACTACAAGGGCCATCCAGTCCCATCCATTTGTTTAGCTCTTCAAAATTTTTATTTCCTGTTCAGAATCTAGACCAGCATCCTTCTTGCTATCCTTCTGTTGGCAGGTGAAAACTTATTCTGTTTCAGCAGTCCTTTGAGGTGGAATGAGCCTTTCATAATGAGCTGTATTGTTTATATTTGTTGCTTTTTTAATAGTTCAGTTCTATTGATAATTTAATTATGGGGGGGAAGCAGACTGGTGGCTCTGGGCCGCCATGGGAAGGTGCGCCACTGGATCAAGGCATCCCCACGCCTCGATCCAGCGGCACACTTTCGCCACCCCTGAAAGGAGCGCTAAAATAGCGCTCCTTTCACAAGTCAGTGAAAGTGCACCTCAAAAGCACCTGGCGGAGGGCCGGTGGCTCCGAGGGCAACCTCGGGAGGAGGAAGGGGCGCCGAGCATGCAGCTGCCCCTCCTCTTCCCTGCCTCCAAGACGGCTCAATTAGCCGTCTGCTGAGGCCTTATATCTCTAATTTTGTATTATGTGAACTCATACTGCTATTCTCTTTTATCTTGTTAAACTGCCTTGAGTCCTGGGCTGGGAAAAATATGGAATAATCATAATCATAAAACAAAGAAGTATGCAGCATTGATAGATGCAGATCCGTGACTAGTTATACAATGCTCTACTTTACACAAGGGCTTTCTGATGTTGTGGGAAAGAGCAATTGTGGAGCCACTACCACCTTGGCTACTACAGGCCTGCCAACAAAGAAACAGCAGGTTGTTTCCCTTTTTGTTTCCAACCTGAGTATGATACTTATACAATGTTTATGTATGCTTATAAGATACTTATACAATGTGTTGTCATCAGGGCTTGGAAAAGTTACTTGTTGAACTGTAAGTCTCCAAGTCCCATAACCAACATGGTTAGTTGTCATGCTGATTGAGGTTTCTGAAACTTGTAATTGAAGAATTAACTTTTTGGAATCTGGTTGGTATCATACTCAGGTTGGAAACAAAAAGGGAAATAACTTGCTGTTTCTTTGTTGGCAGGCTTGTAGTAGCCAAGGTGGTAGTGGCTCCTCCAGTTCACAATTGCTCTTTCCCACAACTTTAGAAAGCCCTTGTGTAAAATAGGGCAATATCAATTTGAAGAGAACTTGGTGCAAGCATGTATCCTCAAAAGATCCAAAAATATTTGTAGTCCTTTAGAGGGTTTACTATTTTAGAATGTCTATATGATTAGCAAAAGACAATAAACATCCAACAGAAAGACAGTCTGGAAAGTAAATATTTTTAAATCAAAATCTTTCTCTGTGTTTTGGTGATTCCTTGTGATTTAACCTTTGTTTTCAGAAAACTGCTTTCACTTTCACATTTTCCAGGTGATGGATTTGTTAGAGGGGGTGATGTTTTACTGTCAGGCTGCATTAGTCACACTACATTATGTTATTGCTTGTGCCAAATTAAGTATTTTTTAAAAAACACACCAAATGATTAATGTTGGGATATGCAAGAATATCCCCAGCTTGGGACTGTAAAGATGCAGTTTTCTGAAAACATCTGCCAATATAGCTTTTGAATGCCATTTTTATTCAGGAAACTGATGTAGTTTTGCTAACGAAGCAAAGTTACTGTGAATAATATTGGTGTGTTTGCATGCAATCTTTTCATTTATTTTCTTTTATATATGCTTGCTCCAGTTTCTTTCTTCAGCTGGGCAGCAAGTATGGATGATCAAACAGCATTAAATGTCTCATTTATATGAAACATAGCATTTAATATTCCTTTATCCTGTAATTATTCCCTCTGGATTATTCCCTCTGGCTCAATTGAGCATTTTGTATCCCACAGATAATACAAAACCCATTATGATTAAATGATGGGGAAGGTGCAAAAGCCATTTTGTCGTGCAAATGTTCTATGAAGTTCATGAAAAGATAGCCGAGTTTACAATACGTTGCATCATGTCCCATCTTTTTGAGGGTTTTCTTTCATATGATGAGCTGAAATTTCATCCATGATGAAACACAATATCATTCTGCCACATCCACAACTCCATACTTTATCAACATATTGTATATACTCATGTATAAGTCTAGAAATGTTAATCAAAAATTGATCCAAAAAAACCCAGAGTAGATTTATCAATGGATCAGTGCAAGTACTGTACTTTAAATCATTAAAATGAACCACTCCTGGTGAAAGACAAAAGTGTAATCTGTCTTGGAAGCACTGACCTCCCCTCTACTCTCTTATCCACCCAGCCTTTAAGGTGGGCATGAACAGTTATGCCTGCTGTGATTTTTTACTTTGGCATTGCTTTCCTTTGCTTAATCCTTACATTCTTTGTTACATCCCTCTAAGTCTTACCCTCGATTTATCCACGGGTCATATCAAAATCCATAATTTTGGTCCCAAAACCTACCCTTGACTTATAGTCAACTTATAGTCAAGTTTATACAGTACTTTGACACTGTCAAGAAATGTTTCAAAAGTATATAATTTTTAATTAAGTAGTAAAAGGAGATGTTTGTCCAATACCAACTAATAAAGACATTTGGTATGAATATTGTTTACCTTTTTAAGCATACACGGCATAACTCATACTGTTTTTTTTTTGAGATCCCCATATTTTGTATCTCATATCTCATAAACCTCTGTTGCCTGGGGAGATAGTTCACTGCTTGGGATATATTTTAGGTATAAATAAAGTTCAAAAACCTAACATCTGAGCACACAGCTATCATATACCCCACAATTTGAATAAGTTCTATGTTGCCCTCAGACCTCCTAGTCTGAGTCACTCCAGCTTTCCATGGTCTACTTATCAACCCACTGCAAATCCCTAAAATTTTGCTATTCCATTTCCATATTTTCATTTTTATTAGTCATGGATGCTGTGTCTATGTGTATTGCTACACTGTGTGCGTGATTGCACTCTGCATAAATAAAACCCTCTTAATTCACTCCAAACCTGGTGTTATCTTCTGCTATTACTGGTATAAACAGGTACAAATGATCCAAAGGTTACCCAAGCTCCTTGCAAAGCTAATTTCACCAACATTTGAATAGTTAGTGGATACCTCCCTCAGCCTCCTGTCTTTGGGTAACAGCTTTCAAGCTGACTCTGACTTATAGTAACTCTATCAGTTTTCTTGGCAAAATGTATTGATAGGAGGTTTGTGATTGCCTTCCCCTTAGGTTGAGAGAGTGTGACTTGCTGAAGGTCAACCTTTGGGTTTTCATGGCTGAGCAAGGATTTGAACCTTGGTCCTATAGAGTCCTAATCTAACACTCAGATCATTATACCACACAGACTAACAGTAATGGAATTAGTTTCAGGCAACAAGCACAGCAATACTACTTAAATTCCATTGATTTTGACAGAATAGAGCCTAACTAAGTGCATGATTCCAGCCAAGATCTTCACATGCCATGGAAAAACAAACCAGTATTCTTCTGTTGGACATCTCAGGGTCATTTCACTCAATTAGAGTAATCAAACAATTATTGGTTACTTCAGATTTCATGAAGTATTCATAGAACAATGCATTCTGTGTTATTTTCCTAGCAAGCAATAGTCTTAAATGGAATGAAATCTCTTGCATGAAACCCAAGATAGGGGGGAGCAAATAATAAGACTTGGTCCAATTCCCAGTAGTGCCACCAAGAAAAGTGTTGTCATTAACTCCTATTGAGAAATGTGAAAAAAAGAAAAAAAATATGCAAAAAAGCTCCCTTACTGTACTTGATACATGTTAAACTTTCCTCACACTGACATGTCAGGACCATGTGGCATCCTGGTCTAGAAAATGACATGGATGTGGCCATTGAAAGGAACTGGAACAAGAGGGTTATTACAGTTCAAGTGGCAGGTGCATGAGTCAGCATCTGGTGAGCTGTGCATCATGGGAGACCTGATGCAATATGCACAGTGAATGAGACAAGCCAGATATGCATCATGGGAGGCCTGATGAAACAGTCCTGATGCAACAGGCACTGGAAACCAGCAAGTTTTTATTAGTGCATGGCTGTCACATATTCTCAAGAGGACCACCTATATATGGGAGAGAGTCAGAATCTCTGTTGTTGGTTAGTTGTGGTTGGTGAAGCACTTTGTTACTCTGTATAGCTGTGAGTATTCAAGACAGACATCTGGTACTCTGTGTATCTTTGTAAATATTTTCAACAAAGATTAAAGCCCTCTCTGAGAGAAATCTCACTGTGTAGCTATTCTTTTGTCCAAGCTGAAAGCAGCAGCTGCATGTGGGAGGTTTTTTTCCTGTGCCATCTGGAGCAGACTTTTCACCTCTGGGCGTTCTTTGCTACGTGCATCTACTCTGCATGTGTGTATGTAAGATCTCGCTGTCTGCCTATCCCAACATGACAGGCATAGGACAATATCACACTACACCATTATAATGCTATTATTCCATTTTAACTACAATGGCTGCCTCCTGAGGAATCCTCAGGGAGGGGAATTCTCAGCAAGAGAACTCTCAATAAACTACAAACCTCAGAATTCCATAGGAAGCAGCTGTAGAAGTTAAAGTGGAATAATAGCCCTATAACAGTCCATCTTGGTTGTCCTGCTCTGGACATGTACTGGCATGCAAATATTTTCTTAAATTGTGGTGTCCAAAACTGCACACAGTATATCATGTGAGATTTGACCAATAGAGATGTATTTATTTGTTAGCCTTATATTTTTATGCAAAAACTATACAGTCAGCCCTCCATATGCATGGATTCTTTATCCATGAGTTCAGCCACCAAGAGCTTGAGAACATTCAAAATAAATAAATAAATTCCAGAAAGCAAACCTTGATTTTGCAATTTTATATTGGGATATAATGTTACTATCCCATTGTATTTAATGGGATGAGCATCCACAGATTTTGGTATCCATGGGTGTGTGTGTGAAATCAAATCCTAGTGGATACCAAGAGCACACTGTACTTGGATTCTTCCTTATGCTTAGTTTAGAACAGTGGCCCCCAAACTTTGGTCTTCCAGGTGTTTTGGACTCCGGTTCTCAGAAGCCCAAGCCAGCTTGGCCCACTGTCAAGAATTCTGGGAGCTGAAGCCCAAAACACTTGGAGGACCAAAATTTGGGGACCACTGGTATAGAACTATGCTTCCACTACTATTATAGTATGCATGCTAATGGAAAGAATTAGGCAAAATGTTTTTGAACACTCAGAGGAAACAAATATGTGCAATATCTCCATAGAACTCTGGAATTTCAAACATTAAAAACCCTGGTAGTTTATGCCCAGAATTAATGCTATCTCATGTTGGCTCAAGCCCTAGTGAACCAGGAGATCAGACAGATGCCTAACCCATGTGCCCTATGAGAATTAAAATTTAAAAGAGATGCAGAGGAAAATGTTGATGTTTCTACCACAATAAACCAAGAATTTTCAAAAATGACACGCCTTTTTACCTAATACCCAAAACTCTATGATCTGTTCAATGGATCTCTTTTTTTGCAATAGAAATTTAAGGGATGGAGATTTGATCCTAAAGCCCTTTACACTCCTATAGTAGGGCTCTACTCCAATTTGTATTCCCTATGCTTACCTTTGTGTAAGGAAGAAAGATTATATATATTGGTTGGGAATTTGTTTAATGTAACTTATATGGTTCTCTCAATTGATTAATCATAAAAGTTTTCCCAGTGCAAACATGGATGAATCCATGGTGATTTTATTTTTGTCTTCAGTCTTTTGTCTTCCATATAATGTCAGTCATTATTCTATCTGACATGGATAGCACTTTCAGATAGATGTGCTTAAAATTAATGAACCATTTGTTCTCATACTGTGAAAAAACAGAATAAAGAACAACTCCCCCAATTACCATCATAAATTATGAAGATAAATGAATGCAAATCACTTTTTAATTTTTTTGGCAGGACAGTGTTATGCTTTTTCTTTCCCCTGAAGAGGCACTCTAACATTTATGGTATGAAAGAACTGTAATGACTGAACAATAAATGAAAGCTAAATTAGAAATATACAATGTAGCTTTCAGCAAGAAGCGTGAGGCACTTGGTGTTGTTGATCAACCATGCAATCTGAAAGTAAAATTTGGTAACAGACAATTTCTTCTAGATTCTCACTGACGTCGTTGTCCCTGTGTCTCATTCTGGCTAATTATGAGAGCAACTTTGACAGTGGGGCCCAGCAGATTTCAAGCTAATGTTTTGCTTTGCTTTGTTTTGTTTGTTTAATGAGAAACCAAAGATCCACCAACTGAAGTCTGGTACAAATGACACAGTCGTTGTTGTCGTCATCATCATCATCATCATCATCATCATCATCATCAAGGATCAGAAATTAATTATGAATAGCAGAAATAAATGGAAATTAAAGTTTTTCAAGAAAGAATCCACTTTTGTTGGTACCGTGTAATACAGTCGTCCTTTGGTATCCACAGGAGTTCTGTTCCAGACCCCTCCATGGATTAAAAAAAAAAAAAAGTGGGGTGTTTTCAATGGTGATGCATGCATGTGTGGCTGCTCTACCATGGCCTCATGTATGCATAGCCATTAGGGGCAATGGGGCTTGCCGTTCACAGACGCTTAAAGGGAGCCGTAGTGGCAAAATGGTTAAATTCTGGTACTGCAGCCACAACGTTGTAGTTTGATCCTAGATGAGGGACCCAAGGTCCACTCAGCCTTCCATCCTTTCAAAGGTTGGTAAAATGAGTACCCAGTTTGTTGGGGACAATTGACTCACACATTGTAAACTGCTTAGGGAGTGCTAGTTCACTGATAAGCAGTATAGAAATGTACTTGTTATTGCTATTGTGGATGGCAAGCCTGTGGTTGAAAAGGGCAGGCTGTAAGAACCCAGGATATTATACTGGCATGAGTTATTTTATTGTCCCATTGTTTAACAATATGGAATCAGAACCACTTGCTAATCTACTTCAGTTTGACCAGAGGTCTGTCAGTAATTCCAGATTTGCCTTCTGTCCATCTTCAGGCTGCATGAGCTTCCTATCCCATTTTAAATAACAAATGTATGGCAAAACTGCATGTAATGGTTATATGACCCCATGTAAGTGAGAAAATTCCTCCAAAGTCCACCTTTAGCCCTGTTGGCTGGTCAAATGAAAATGCAATGTAGGAATCTTCACTAGCCATGCAGGCTTCAGAGAAGTTGCTACTATGCTGAGGAATGAAGATGGAAGCTCACTTTCTTCATGTCCACATTCTCAGTATCCTGCAGAACATTTTCTACATTGTCCTGCAGAAAATAAAACTGATCTTTATTCATTTATCTTTATAATTCACAGGTGCAAATGGGAAGGATACCGCTAGGACTTCCATCCATCTGAAATAGAAGAAAAAAGACCCTTAGAAGACTGCATAATGATCTAGACACATTGCACTGTCCTGCAGTGTTGCTAAAATAAGATTGCAGTGTTTACATTATTCATAGTGTTTGGTAATGTTACCTTAGATTAAAGCTTTTTTCTGTCATTTTGTATCTACAACAATTTGAATCAAAGTGCAATTAGTAAAGAAGGGGATTATTTTTGTAGTTGGTATTCAAATAACCTATGGAACTGGGGAGAGAAAAGGTTAACAACACCTATCATTTTGTATTGCATTTTGTTGTGAACCTTCAAGTTATTTACTACTTATGGTGATCCTAAAGTGACCTCATGGGGTACTCTGTGGCTGAGAATGTGTGGCTCACCTAAGCTCACCCAGTCAGTTTCTATGGCCATGCAGGGAATTGAACTGTGTTGTCCAGGGTCATAGTCAAGTGCTCAAACCATTACAATATACTGATCCTCTGTATTGCACTAGTTCATTGTAAATAATATAACAAACAAAGACTGAGCCATCAAGCAACATCTCCATCCTAAAATGGAAGGCAAACTCACCTCTTCCTAGGACTGACTCTGCTTTCAGAAATTACTAATCCATCTCTCATAAACTAAGGATTGTATCCAGAATGAACCATGTTTAAGAATCAATCTCTAAAATCAGTGGGGCCTATGTTACATATGACAAACCAGACTCATTGACAAAACATATTAAATATGACAAGCTTATCTCTAAGCCTAATTAAGTTTGGCTCCTAAATTGAGAAGGCTGTGAGATTCTAAGAACAATGTTTCTTTCCATTTGTACTGAAGACAATGCCAGTGTAACTGCAAAGTTAATTTAAGATTATCTGGATTAGTTGGCTTTTGATACATATTAGATTTGGCTCATTTTGTTTTGCATTTGTCCAAATAGTAATTTAGTGGTTCTCATGTGGGCAAGCTGAGACACATGGGTATAATTAATATGTCCT